CTGGACGGCGTGAGAAGAGGCCCCCGCCGTAGCCGCACCGTCGCCCAGGTCCAGGGAGCAGGCGAGCTCGTCCTTGTCCCCCCGACCGACGCCGACACACCGAGCAGGGTGGGCCACTGGCTCCCAAAGGACCTGAGCAGGCGGCCCCTGCGGGGGGGTCTGGTCTGTCACGCGCAGCTCCTCGTCCTGGGCCTCGTGGTCTGGGCGCTGGCGCACGGCGCGGCCAGTGGCGCCAGCTGCCACCGGCAGGGGAACCGCCGCGCTTCCCCTCTTGACGGCACTCTTGACCTTAGCCTGGAGCCCTTGGAGTCGACCGCGACCTTCTTGTAGCTGAACGGCCGCCAGCTGGGTGCGCGCCACCTTGCCGCCGTTGGCGCACTTGTGGTATCCCCGACAAGCCTCCAGGACGCGTGGCTGGTTGGGCGCCGCCGTGGGGCGGGCTGTCGGGGGCGCGTAAGCGCTCTGCTGCTGCAGCCGAGGGCGACGCGCGGCCCGCTTGGCCTCGCCGGGGAGGGCCCTGGGAGGACCACAGTACTCCAGCATGCGCTTGGTGGCCTTGAGCTCCTGCTTGAGCTGCGCCCCGACCCCCTCTGGCGGCGCGCTGAGGTCCGCCCTTCCTTTAGCCCGAACGTCTGCGAAGTGACTGTGTCTCCTGTGAATGAGCCCTTGCGAACCAGGTAAGTCGCCCTCCAAGCTCTGCTTGAGGGGCTGGCGCCGCTCCACGCCGGTCCGCCGTTACAGGTAGGAGGCATGGTGACTGCACCGCAGATGCCAAGCTGAGAGCTCCCGCACATCCTCGCGCTGCCTCTCGCGGGAGGTGAAGACTTCCAAGAGATTCTGCAGCTCCTCGATACCTTCCAGCAACACGTAGTGCCTCAGACGATCGCGCAAGTTTCGGATGGAGGCGCTCTGCTGCTGAAGCAGGAGACAGACATCTCGAAAGGTGGGAACCGCGTTGCACGCTGTGAGCTGGCCCCGCACTGAGGCGGACGTCGGGCTGCGGCCGCGCTGCCAGTAGTAGAGCTGCATGGTGCCGAACTCGTTGTAGTTGACGCCGAGCTGGCAGTAGGGCGCGCCCGCCTGGCCCGACTTGAAAGGGGGCTCCTGCGAGGGGGAACCGCCGAGCACCGCTTGGTTGACCGCGTCCGCGTAGTGCTGCAACCAGCCGCCCTGCTTGCGCCCCTGGTTCCGCTGCCGCGCGGGCGGCAGCCAGGGCGCAGGAAGGAGCGCGACTCGATCTGGCATGGCCGCTGCCCACTGAGCTGGGGCTCGGCTACGGGCTGCGTAGAAGAGCGCCACCTCCACCGACTTGGGGCCCACTTGCAGCATATCGAGGTGGACGTCGGCGCCCTGTAGCCCCCCCCCCCTCGCGGCGGAGGAAAAAGCTCGCAGCACTTGGCCAAGTCGGCCAACATAGTAGCGGCACGGGTGCCCGTGCCAAGGACCAGCTCCTCGTCCAGGAGCGCCTTCCGCAGTGCTTTCTCTGGCGATTGCCCAGCTGCCGTGCAGTCGTAACCCGCGGGGCGTGCTGCCCCCCACCGTCTTATGGAGGGGGGCAGCCAGGCCTCCCAGACTCTGCCTGGGCAAGGCCACACGATGGGCCGCCCACCGCCGTCAAGCTTTCCAATGATGACGGCGAGCAGGAGGAGCACCCGCGACGGCCACGTTGAGCGCTCCAGATGCTCAGGGAGGTTCTCCCAAACCGCGACGCCGATCAAAGGTAGCTGGAGCTTGACCACCCACACGATGAAACCGGCCAAACTAGCCACGTTGCCCACAGGCGAAAACCTCTGACCAGTAACGCAGTAAGCACAATAAAGCAAGAACTCGCCCCTGTGTTTGGCTTCGATCGTGGCCACCCAAAGCCTGCCCGCACCTCCTGGGGGAGAGATGTCCCAGTGTCGCTGCTCGGGCGCAAGAGTGACGCTGACACATGCAGGCACAGCGTGCAAGACGCCCGCCGAGTCGCGCCGGCTCGGTCCGTGGGTGGCTGGAACTGGCAGGGCCCTCCATCCCAGCTGGCGCACCCTCGCGCTCTCCTCGGCCCACAAGTGTCGCTCGCCGTGCTCCTGGAAAGCCTTGAACAGAAACCTGCCCTCGGACCGCTGCTGGTGCGCCACGCCCTGGAGGCACGCCTCGCCGTTGCGCCAACTGAGGCTGGCGTTGAGGCTGTGGAAGGTGAAGGGCCTGTTGCTGCGCCGCCGTCGGGAACCCTGCCGTGCCCCTGCTGCTGGTGGTTGGTATGGCCTGCCACCGCCGTCCTCGCTGATGGCCGTCACGTTCGCCTCGCTCTGCCCGTCGACATCCAGGCAGCCTCCTCCAGGTTGGGCAGGGCCAGAGAGACCCCCCTCTGTAGTAGACTGCGTCGCCCTGCCTGAGAAAAAACCCTCTGCGGCATGAGCACCTCCAAATGAACACCTGCCAGAGGGAGCTGCTGAAATCCGTTGAGCGTGTGTGTGTGTGTGTGTGTGCGTGTGTGTGTGTGTGTGTGTGTGTGCGTGTGTGTGTGTGTGTGTGTGTGTGTGTGTGTGTGTGTGTGTGTGTGTGTGTGTGCGTGTGTGTGCGTGTGCGTGTGCGTGTGCGTGTGCGTGTGCGTGTGCGTGTGCATATATGTGTGTGTGTGTGTGTGTGTGTGTGTGTGTGTGTGTGTGTGTGTGTGTGTGTGTGTGTGTGTGTGTGTGTGTGTGTGTGTGTGCGTGCGCGCGCGCGCGTGTGTGTGTGTGTGGGTTGTGTGTGTGCTTGTGCTTGCGCTCGTGCTTGTGCTTGTGCGTGCGCGTGCGTGTGTCTGCGCGTGTGCGCGTGTGCGCGTGCGTGTGCGTGTGCGGAGGGGGGGGGGGGAGGGCGAAGAAGAATGATGCAAAGCCCCTGCTCGGGTCTTCCCACCCTGCCCACTCGGCCTGGCTGGGCAGGGGCTTGATTAAGGGTCGAATTATGCGGTGTCGAGAGATGCCGTCACAAAGAAGGGGCCCGCGCCAGGCGCGGCGGGATGGCGACAGCGCGCGGCTTGGCCAACGGGAGGTAGATCAGCGGAAAGGAGGGGGGTCACGCGGGGGGGGGGGGGGGGGGGGGCGAGGGTAGGCTGGGGAGGACAAGGGGCCCTCAACAGCTGGAGGGGCCCATGATGCCCTTGGAAGTGCGCGCGCGCCACGCAACGCCGCGCACCGAATGCTCGAATCAGCCGTCCAACTTCGCTAGGCTCGCGGCGACATCGCGGGAGCTGACATGGTCGCGCACGATGCGCTGCGGCACGGAGCCTCTCGTATACTGAATCATGACGGATCAGCCCTGGCCCGCTCCCAATCCTCTCCCCCCATCGAGTCTCCCGCTGCTCGAAATTGCAAAATGGGCGCGGGATGGACCGATCCTTATGCAATCTTCAAACCAGCTGCATCCTGGAACCACAACGAGCGCAGTGCCCGACACAAGCAGGCGACCTGGACATCGCAAGGGGCTTGGGGGTGAAGCGTGGGGCAAGACGTTCATCCTTCTGGGCAAACGGAGCGGCGCGCTCAAAAGCTGGCACCACGACGCCGACGCCAATGACTGAGTCCTCGGCTGTCCTGTCGACAGCGATGGTCAAGGAGGGCGCCCCTGCGCCTGCCAGGCGCCCCTGCACCTGCTTCCCCTTGCCCGCGGGTGTCCCTGCGCCCTGGGGCGGTTCTGCGCCCCGTGGGTTGGCCAGACCGCCGCCTGGTTCGGAGGGCTCCTCCGCGCGGCTGGCCAGACCGCTGCCTGGCCCGAGGAGCTCCTCCTCTTGGCCGGCCAAGCCCCCCCCCTTGCTCGAGGGGCTCCCCCTCGTGGCTGGCCAAGCCGCTACCTGGCGCGAGGGGTCCCCCCGCGTGGCTGGCCAGACCGCTGCCTGGCTCGAGGGCCTCCTCCCCGTGGAAGACTGGGCCCGGCCCCTGCCTCGAAGAGCTCGCCCTGGTCCTCTCCGGCGGGGGTGGCCAAGCCACCGTCTAGCTTGAGGGGGCCCTCCTCGTGGCTGGCCAAGCCCGCCCTTGGCCCGAAGGGCTCCCCCGGGTGGGTGGCCGGGCCCCGGCCTGACTCGAAGAGCTCCTTCGCGCGGTTGGCCAGACCGCTGCCTGGCTCGAAGGGCTCCTCCCTGTGGCTGGACAGGCCGCTGCCTGGCTCGAAGGGCTCGTCCTGGTGGTTTGCTGACAAATGTACCCATGACAATACATCGGCACGCAAAGTCCTAAGGGTGTCTGCGAGGTCATTCATCGTGGCCTCCAAAGACTCAAACGACTGATGGGGAAACGCCAGGGCAGCCACAACTGGGGCGTCCAATTCCTTTGCGGGCACAAAGTTCATAGACACTCTCTATGAATTGTTCCTCTTTTAGCGATTCGTCTGCACTACATTCCCCTGTCGCCGATGATCGGCTGGCTGAGGGGGCGGCTGCGGGTGATGCCGCTCCTGCTCGTTGCCCTCCCCGCGGCGCTGCGCTCGTTTGGTTCCGCTGCGCGTCCGAGGTAGCGTTTCAGTTCCTTCTTCAAGCGCGGCGCGTTTAGACACGTTCCTTTCCGCCCTGCCTCTTCCTTGGGGTGGGAGGTCCACAATCTTACAAGCCAAGTGGGGCCTTACAAGTTGCCCACGAATTCTAAATTCGTGGTGATGTGCTTGGGTGAGCGGAGAGCACGCTGAGTCTGGCCAGATCTTGGCCTCTTTGCCATGTTGAACGGCCGCCTCCCCCCAAAATGTTCACCACCTGGTCTGCGAAGCGCTGCGCGACACTGGAACCATCGACGTACACTTTACTGCAGCCGGGGAGTGCAACACGAATGAGCGCCCGCGAGGCCCCAATCAGAAAACAGAAGACATAAGAAATGTATGGCCTAGAAAAAACTGGTGCCGTGCGCCCAAGACTGCGAACCGGACGTGTCGAATATCAGACCAATTCTTGAGCCAAAACGGCTACGGACCCTATTCGTCCCTTCCTCCCCGTTTTCCTGCCTCCTCCCCCCTTCTTTTTCCTCCCTCCTTCTCCTCCTCCTCCTTGTCCTCACTCCTCCTTTCCCTATCCCTCTCCAACCCCCTTCTCTCAATTTCCTCCCGCGTCGTAATTACACAACATGAGAACTATTATCATATCTCCCCTGACTACGCCGCGGAAGTGTCCCGCCCTCCACGTGTACAGTAAGTGTTGGCACAAGATCTCAAGTGTGAATGTCACACTGCTGTTTCCTTCAACCGAAGAGAATTGGTATTCAAAAAATGAACCCGCTGCGGCGCTGGTCCCATTCTGACATTGCCCCTTTGCTGCCGCAGGTCAGACTGGTTTTCACGCTCCAACGCGAGCCACAATTCTGGATCTGAGTCCTTCCTCGATGTTGTCGCCCCGTGCCTCTCCCCTCTTCTGCTTTCCCCTGGTCCTCCTGCTCCTCCCGTTCCGCCTTATGTTCCTGCCGCTGCTGTTGCTTCTCGCCGTGTCCTCCTGGCTGCTCATCCTCATCCATTTCATCATGTTCACCCTCTTACTCAAGAGCCACTTCCTCCTTCTCCAATGTACACACCTCCTGTTCCCTTATTGCGTACACGTAACACGATGGGGCCCGTTGAAATTTTCTGCGCGTGTTGTGACACTCGCCGACGGACTAAAAACATTTAGCGCGAGGGAAACGGATGGGTGGGAATGGGTGGGTGTCAGACATGGCGCAAGCGCACCTAGCTTGACATTGCGTATACCTGTTTGCCAGATCCTGTTGGGGCGGCCCCTTTTTCTCTCGCATACTGTCTTCTAGCGTATAAGACGTCGAAGCGTGGCGTTCGCATATCTTCCTTGACCATCGCAAGGTGTTCGGTGCTTCGACGTGGCGTTCCCGCTGCAGCGCTGGCTCCCATTTGCGATCGGCGCTTGGCTCCCGTCGCTCACGCAAGCGTCAACGCTGCAACCCGGACCACAATTCTGGATCCGAGTCATTCCTCGTCGTTGCCGCCCCGCTCCTTTCCCCTCCTCCGCCTTCCCGTGGTCATCCTGCGCCTCCCGCTCCTCTTAGTCATGGTCCTGTTGCTGCTGTTCCTCCTTGCCCTCCGCCTTCCTCGTCTTCGTCCTCATATTATTCCTCATCTTCTTCCTCCTGCTCAGATCCTCTTGATGAGACTGGTGCGGCAGTTCGCGAACCCCCTCCTGGATGTTTCCTGAGGAGGGTTGTTGGACGGTTTTTTCCCGAGCTCCGGGAGGAGGGGCGAGGAAAATTGTTGAAGGTTCCTATATATATATATGCAATAACGAAACCGGCCAATAAACTTCCAAACGCTTTCAGACAACCTGTCAAATACCTCCCAAACACCTTCCAAATACCGTCTCAACACCTTACGGCAACCTTCCACACTTTAGCGCGATCGTTCAATGCACCCCGAAAGCCGCCCGAAAACATTTAAACAACGACCTTCCAACAACACACCTTCGAAAAACCTTCCGCCCGTCCTCGGGGTCGTCCGCGTCTATCACTGCATTGGTCCTCGTCGCTGTCGCCGACTGGGACGCCGACTGGGCGGTGGCCCCGCAGTTCCCCCTGCCGAGATCCCAGGCGCCGAGGCAACCTGATCCGCGGCTCCAGCTTCCATCGGTCTGGGCCGATTCCTGCGCTCCGAGTTCTTGCGCCCCCATTTCCCGCAACCGTTGTGGCCCTGAAAACGTTGACCCTGCTGTCGTTGGCCTCCCAGCTGACCGCCACCATCATTCTTCTTGCCCTTGCCATCTTTCAGTTTGCCCATGTCCTTGCTGCTCTTGCCTTTGCCCTCGTGGTCCTTGTCGCCTTTCGGTCACCCTTTCGTGTTGACAAAGCCATCATCCATAGGCGTCGCCCCGTCGGCGATGGCCAAGCTGGTCGTGCACTCCACCAGGGTGTTCCTCAAGGCGTGGTAGTTCAGGAACGTCTGAAGGATAACCTGCTAATTGATATTGGCTGGACTGTTGTTCTTCAAGATGGACTGAAGGATCGCCGTCCACGATATCCGAATACGTCTGCTCGTACCTGCGAGCCTCTGCCTCCAATTTCTCCACCACGTCCTGGAACTGGTGCGCCCTGCCGCTGAACATCGTCTTGAGGATATTGGGGATCTCAACCACCTGCACCGAACGCGAGGTCGGATCCTCGCGCTTGCACATCAGGCGGTACGCCTCGATGCGATTTTGCGACCCAGTGTTCATCAGGAGCCTTTTCGCCGATCCCTGGAGCACACCG